ACCACAGAAGTCAGGTGTATTCCACAGAAGCGCTTAGGAACACCTACGAAATGTATAACTCCCTGCAGGGTCAGCCCATCTAAATTATGTGGCTGATATGATGATTTGCAGCCCATCAAAGGAGCCTTGTAAAATTGATACAATTTCGCTACTTAAAGATTTGGCAGAGAACGGAAATAAGGCTTGCCTACGAAAAACTTAAATTTGCTCTAGAACAAGTGACTTATCTGGGACATGTGATCACAGCTGAGGGCAAAATCCCTCTCTCCCAAACGTATTGGGGCAATTCAATTGGTACCAAAAACAAAAAACCAACAAAAAAAAAAACGAATGATGAGTTTTTTGGGGATGACTTCATACTGTAGACAGTGGATCCCTATTTATTCAGAAAGAGAGGCACCTCTCTCGTTCATGGTCCACGGTAAAGGCCTCAGCGCGCATGACAAACTGACTTGGACTACTGAAGCTGAAAAGGCTTTTCAGGACTTAAAGACTTCCTTATCACAGGCCCCGACTTTGGGCCTACCGAGACCCGACTTACCGCAGACTCAGTTCATAGACGAGAAGGACTGTTACATGACATCAGTTTGTGTCATCTTCATGGAGGGGAACTTAGGCCTGTTGCCTACTTCTCCTCAAAACTTGACCCTGTTGCTTCGGGTCTTCCTCTCTGTTTGCGAGCAGTGGCGGCAGCCGAGAGAGAGATTTTAGCATCATGTGACATTATGGGCTACTGTGATGTGACACTTATGGTCCCACATGCTGTCTCCCATATCTTACATGCCCAGAAGATTTCTCACCTCTCTGCTCAGAGATGGTTCAGGTGTCATACGACATTGTTAGAACTGCCTAACGTAATTGTCAAACGATGCGATGTCCTTAACCCAGCTACACTTCTTCTAACTGCAGATGATGGAGAGCCTCATGATTGTGTCGAAGTCTTGCAGCAGACATGCATACCAAGGCCTGATCTGTTGGACACAGCTCTTCCCAATGCATCTTGAGCTGTTTGTGGACGGCTCTGCTTCTCGCTCACCCGAAACAGGCGGCGGCCAGGAAACAGGGGAGCGGATGCAGCGGCAAAGAAGGCAGCCTCACAGGGCTTCCTTTTCCCCTTCACTCAAATGCTTTCCACACCGACCGATCCCAGTCCTTATGCCGATCTTCCCACACTTCAGTCTCTTGCCGGTGCACAGGAGCATTCCCTGTGGAAACGATCTGGTGCCATTCTTGAGGGCGGAATCTGGACAGGGCCAGACAGTGGGCCTTGTTTGCCACATGCTCTCTTCCACATTTATGCTAAGCTGTCTCATGGAAGAGATCACGTGGGCAAAGGGGGAATGTGCACTGCTATAAATGAGCATGCTGATATATTGTGCTAACCTCTCCCCCTCACTCTCAGCACTGCACGGGCAGGTAAAAGCGGTACTTCCATCCCCGGCTACTGCAGTCCAGCACCACCTGAAACCAGGAGACTGGGTCCTCATTAAGGATCACCGGAGAAAGCACTGGAAGCAGAGACGCTACACAGGGCCCTTCCAAGTACTCCTGACCACGGAGACGGCAGTTAAGGTGAAAGGGAAAGCGACGTGGGTCCACGCCAGCCACTGCAAACGCATCCCGGATCCAGGAGACGAAGGAGCACCTCCATCTGGTTCCGGTTAAGGGGTTGCAGGGGGGAGAGCCCTCCCCCACTGCAGTGTTCCAAGACACCAACGAGCCCGGTAGAGATGGCAGAGACGGCAGAGACAGCAAGGACAGCAGCCACCCGGAGAAAAGCAATAAAAGACAGATCTCCAGCGCCAAAGGACACTTAGGAAGCATGGTTGGAGCCTGAGAATGAACATGTGCATATCACTGACGCTGGCCACATTTGTGCTGATTACCCTCACGATCAATGAACTACAACCTCCTTATGTGAACATCATGGATTCCAGTCTTCTCCACCTCTCCAATAGAGAATTTCAGGAAGGGAAAATTAGCTTCCACTGTCCAGCAAAACAATGCGACGAGACGAGTGTTTGCTCTACACAATCGAACATGATGCATAGGTTAAAATAGAAAGCCACGTAATTGAAGTTGTGTGTGTTCCCGGGGTAAGAAGAGATAGAGTATGTACTGTGTGGGTGCACGGAACATTTGATTTAGCAGATCCACCATTCTGGTGCAGTAAACCACGATCGTGTCAGTGAGACAGTCAGCCTAAAACAGTACCACCTGAAATAATTTACGAGGCCGTTAAACCACAGGCCATGACCTCCCGCAGGCCAGAACAGCCCCCCACTAAAGCAACTCGGAGGCAATGGTTGATCTCTTTCAAATGTCCAAAAGGGGGGTGTGTGGAAAAGAGGGTTGCAAAGCTTACATGTTACGGCTGAGCACGCCGCACTTAGGTCACTGGTCAGTCCTGAACTCAGAGGACTTTAGGACTCAGTGTCAGACAAACGACACTTGCACAGTGACTCTAAGTCCTAAATATGACACAAGTTGGGAATACCCGTTGCGCTCAACTTGCAGACTGTACGACGGAGACAGCCCACTTCACTCTGCTAGATTGGCAGTATGCGTGCAAAGTAAGCCTACAGTCAAGAGAACTTCCAACCCGTACACCACCGTACGGGCCTGACAATATTGCGTTGACTATTGTGAATGACCTTACTAACGAAAGGAATGTCTAATTGTTGGATATGTCAGCATACGCCCACTTCATCTAGAGCACCTATGCTGGTTCCTGTTCCATTCACGGAAGCCGACTGGGATGTCATGGGGTGGCCTGAGCTATCCCATCGATTCGTGAGTAATGATGTAGACTGTTACACTCCTCCACCGCAAACGGCGACAACAGCGAAAAGGACAGTTGCCTATGAGGGTGGAAGGTTGTACGTTTTGCAGTTTAGCGGTTCAATCGTGAAAATAGACAGTATTAATCAAGTGATGTTGCTTAGATTAACCTATTACAAAAGATATGTCTAACAGGGGTTACGATATCAAGTGCAAATGACTCTCATGGAGACCAATTGCACACCGGACAGTAAGGTGTTAAAAAAACCCCGCATGTACTCTCATACCAAATACAGCATCTATTCGATTGGAGATGGGCATACAGGGCATCCCCTGGGCAAATGATTTTAAAGTCACACACTCAACCTGGAGTAGACATAATTGAGTAAACCTTAATCCCAACTAGAGCTCAGAGTAGAGATTGTACCAAACCAGCACCTCCCATTCCGGTCCATCCCTTAACCAACGTCAGCTGCTGTATTAACTTCTGTGCTCTGGATGGATTTCATCTAGGTACGAGTGACTGTAGTTATGATATTATCAGCTTTACCACTAAATCCAAAGATCTCGCTTTACCGGAGCAGGTTTATTTAGTTTGTGGCAACATTGCTTATAGCTGTGTTCCAGTCATAGGGAGCCTTCATAAAAAGTCAGATACTGGGAAATGCTTTTCAGCATACCTTGTACCCCTAATTAGACAGGCTGACTCCGAGGAACTTGCTCCATTCCACCTAAGGTTCAAGGATTTTGAGCATACTAATACCATCGTATGGCACCTACAGGAGCCAGGAGGAAAATAATGGCACTCTCAACAGTACTGGAAAGACACATGAATAAGACTTCAAAAGCACCTTCCGAAAATGCAAAAGGAAGTAAATGACATCAAACACATGGTATTTCAAAATAGAAGTGTTCTGGACCTCATTTTGGCCTCACAAGGCGGGGTATGCAAGGTAATTAACACTGAATGCTGCACTTACATCTCTGATGCAACATCATCAGTTTATGATGTGGTGGCAGACACAGAACAAGGCATTAAGGAGCTGCATGAAGACCACGGATGGAATCCTTTTGGGGAAATACAGGCACGAGTTGGATCACGGGGAACTTCTCTCTTCTAGAAACTGCTAACTAGGGGGCATAATTTTGTCTGTAATTATTATAACCCTAATTGTAACTGTTTTAAAGCTCTTTGTAAGGAAGGTTGTCAGTACTTATGTATCAGTTGAACACATGAGTATTACTACGCAACGTCTAGTTCAGAAATGGACTCCACCATATCTGGATAGCCTTGACAGGGACAACGAATGTGAATATTGTGTGTAACTGGACGATATTTTATGTGTGGGTGGTTTAAGTAAATGTTCTCATGTACTTTGAGTTAATGATGTATGTTCTACGATTTTTTATGTTTCATTTTTCATTCTTGATTTTGAATTGATCGTTTAACGTTTTCCTGATTTCTTAGTTGTCAAAGAATGACAAAAAGAGAGGGATGTCGGGGGAGAATTTGTTGAGGTGCATGTTGTGAGAGTCTCAAGAACTTGTATGTGACCTTTCTTGGGAAACTCGTGACCTGACCTAGTCTACGATGAAATCCATATGTGGCTTGGACAGACCATATCATGTTCTTCTATTTACCTTTCTCCTCTGTTTTCCTGTCTGTCAAAATGATTGATTTGGTCCCACTAAGAGGGTCGTGGAGGTTCCCGAAACAACATCTGGTTAGCATTCCTCGAACCTTCAGAGATGTATAAAAGCTCCTCGTCCCCCATAGAAACTTGGTCAGATCTTCCTGCTCCTTTTGGGAGAAGGAACTTTCTGCCCCTTTTCAGCTGAATTGTAGTCATTTGACTTCTGTCTGTGCTTACGGCTTGTGCTGATGATCTCTGTATTCTTTATCATTTTTCTATATTCTAGTTAGTAATAAATACTTAATCACAAAGCAAGCTCAAGATACTTTTGATTTCTCACATGGGCTAAATCCACAAATTTCCACCACAACATCCACCTTTATCGAGAGAAAAACATGTTGATATTCTTACTTTAGATGGGGATAAATCCAGTTCATTTGCACTTCAAGGTTCTCAAGTTCCAAAAATGTGTCAAATCGATTTTCCTAATTATGTGGTGTCACAACAAAAACACCATCCCTGTGAAAACTGAATTAATTAGCAGGTCCAACATAAAACAATTAATTGCATACGTGGTAGGCTTACTGTTCAATGCTGGGAGAGAGGTAGAGTTTTGGGAAGACTTGGGTGGCCTCAGCATCCTCAAAGCTCACAGAGAGAAGAGCCACGTCCTCTCCAGGGTCCACCGCTGTGTCCTGAGAAATAAAAAGCAAGGACGGTACTGTTACCTGGTAAAACCACCACCTATACCAGCCAATGACTCCTGTAGTTGCAAAAAGAATACAGATTGTATAGAAGGCTATGAGCGAATGACTCTAATTCTCTCTATATGTATTCCCTCAGTAAACAGAGTAAACATGAGTTTATGGTCTCAATCTCCGGTTTAAAGTCTTCAATACAGCATGATGTTTATTTTTTAAATGTAGGGTAGGCTTTCGGGCGGGGCTACCTTGTGATTGACAGGTTGCTACCACTATCAGAGCCTAGCATCACTACGTAAATGCAGTAAATATTTGGTCACTTTCATTCACTGATTACAGAAAAACAAGATGGCAACGGACGACCTTGAATATGACGCCGGACAAAATGACCAACTGGAAAGTTCAAAGCCCCAGTCAACAAACCAATGGGTGACGTCAGACAAAAATGTTTTATATATACTACTGCAGTCTATGGTGTAGGGGATGGGACGGTGGGACTTCAATCGAGTAGATTTTTCAGGCACACTGTTTATTTTGGGTTCCAGTTAAAAGTTTCAAGGTAGTCACGAGTACATAAAACAAGCTATTTATGTAGCAGACATTTGGGGTTTTGCGGCAGCATTTAGAGAATCAATATAGTTCCTAAAAGTATATTGAACTTTGGGAAAATCCACATTTCAAATGAAAGCCTTATTTAATCAGACATCTGAAAGAATTCAGATTAAAAAACAGATTATGATTTGATTTAAACCCGGCCCCAGGGATCACACACTCCAATGTGTGCACAACATGTGGGCAAGTCCCAAAATCTGGAGGGAGATGGAAAAGAGAAGAGGAAAGACACCAGATGAAACATCTGTTTTGTTTCATGCCACATTAGCTTCAGCAGCTGCACTACGTGGCTGAGATGATGACTGGGAGCACCAATCAAATCATGTGTGAGATGGATGCAGAGGCCACCCGGAGCTGCTTGCTGCAAACATCGTCTGCCTCTCCAAGGTTCTAATTTCTCATTCTGTGATGTTTTTCCTCGAGCAGGGCTACTTCGCAGGCACTGCCATTAGTGCAATTCCACATCAAGTACCATTCCGGGCTCTCTCTCCCGACAGAGGCTCGGCGGCATTAATCAAATGTCTTACAGATGGTTTGAAGTCATCCATTTGTTATAATTCGCTCCTTGCCGTGGTTGAGAGGGAAGCTAACCACCACACATGATGGACAGAGGCGCAGAGCAACCAGTTTGCAGCACGGCCGCCTCAAACGTGATCGTGCTCATTAGCTGATCACACACACTCTGCTGACCACCAAACCACACTGACCATTGGTTTAAGAAAAATACGTCTGAGTGGGTGGAAAAATAAATTCCTTCACTGCACATTTCCTCTCCAGTGGAGTGGAATTAATTTTTCTGCATGCAATCTAATAACTTTAATAAAAAGAAAACACAACATGAACATGGGATACAATGTATTGGACCTTAATAAACAGATCGTGAATGCGCAGTGCATTACTGCAAAGGAACATGCAGATAGCGACAGTCACAACAATGGCAGCAGCTCTGCTGACTATCATGCAGTAGGACTTGTCGTGGCAGATGCATTAGGGGGTAAGACATAGAGTAGATGGGAGGCTATGAAAGACAGCGGGGTGTGTGGCATCCAAAAGTGTTGCCTGACGGAATCAGCTCACATCATTATAGTGTGTATCAGTACACAGGAACTGCCCTCTGTCCTACAGCAGCGCTCGCGGCTTCTGCCGCTGACAATATGGGACAGATAGGAACAGGCGTGGAGATGCAACGCTGGGATGGAGGTGGGGGGTTTGGGTAAGGATTGTTTTGCTCCAGTTCGTCGCTGTCAAGTCCCGTTCTCATCTTTAAAGGTGATTTAATGGTGCTCCCTTAGGACCACGACGGAGTAAACAGACAGATGAGACCCAACAGGAAGGTAAGAGGGCAAGGGGAGGAACAGAGGGCTGCTCTGTACAGGCTGTAGCTGACCAATCCCCCAATTCGGTCAGACTATGGGCGCTATTGAAGAGAGCCTTTTTGTGGAATGATTCAGACTCATCTCATCTCAGCAGACAGCAAAGGGCTGTCACAAGACATATTGCATCAAAGGAACAAAGAAACACAAACTAAAGGCAGAGCCTTTAACTTCTAGCCAATGCCAATTTGAATCAAATGTGCTAGACGCAGTTGCTACGGCTATGTACAGGAAAATATTATTTTTGGCCTCCAAACTTGACATGTTTGTTTCATAAACTTAACTTTTCTATAAAACTGGTAAGTAACACTAAAACCGTGTCAGCCAGGTATGATCTCCAGTTAAAACATATCAGCATTTAAACAATCTACAGTCACATTATTGGCTCTGTAAGGCTGCACTTTAAGTAGTCCTGGTACAGTCACAAAGCTACGTGTATGCCTGGAGATGAGTGCTGTATGGTGTTCACCATCCCTAACATTTACTGTGTTCACAATCTTGAACCTTTGCGTTTAGCACACTTATGTGCTAATTAGCACGAAAAAGTGCAGCTTAGAAGAATTGACCTCTGATGGTGAAGGTCAGGCATTGACCTCTAAAGGCTAAGGTGAAGCATTACCCTTTAGTTATTAAGGTTTAGCATTGAACCATAACCGTGAATATCAAGACATAACCTGATGATTGGTCGAGAGTTGAAGCAAAGTTATATCAATTCATCAAAGAAATGGGGCCCCATGACTTTTTATTCTGTGGGCCATTGATATCTGGGCCAGATGTGATGGCGATGCATCCAACGGCACTTCATATATTTCAGTTCGGACCAAAATTGTGAAACGACTAACTGCAGTCATTTCGGTTATTGTAAATTCTGAATTGGGGATAGAACATCAGTCAGTGAGAGACCAAAAATTAGGGTTGTAATAGAGAAATTTGCTGTTGACCATTTGCTGCGATTTGTAAACAAACGCTTGATAAGTAAAAACAAATGTTTTTGTCTCTGAAGCTCTTGCACTGCTCAAATTTCATGATCCCATTTTATGGGCAAAATGTTCTTGCTGTCCTTGAAGTGGCATGTTTAAAGTAAATTAAAGTGTAGAGGGCCAATACAAATGCTTTATTTGACAGCTGTTTTTTGTTATGGAATACACAGTGTGCTAGTTCTTAGCAGCGCAATGGTAATTTAAAGGCATTTAAAAACTCTCATGATTATCCTCTGTAAAAAAAACTCCAAATCCACTACAGGAAGTTGTGTAAAGATAAAAAATGACCTTATAACCTGCATGCCTTGAAACCATTATTTAAATTGAAACAGACAAGCTCTTCCCTTTGTAATAAAATAAAAATCCCCAAATGTCCGCTAATGTTTCCGTGCACATATACACATCTTAAGCCCTTTCAACCAAATACACTTGAGGGCAACTGCTGCTTGCTTATGTAAAGAGTTAGTAGAGAAGCAGCTTCAAAAAAAGCTTCTGCTCAACAGGCCACAGGCAGGACCTTAATGAAGAGACTTCTTCATTGGTAAGTAATGAGCACTAAAAATGGCTTGGGTCAGAGGAGGCTCCTGCAGGGGTGATGGTTAGATGTTAAAGCAGTATTTACTACATGGCCCTGGGGGGGATCTGACTCAACTGCTCAAGGACTGTATTTAAGGAAGCAGGCGAGGAGTGTGCGCGCGCACGTGTGCGTGGACATCAAGGTTAGAGGGTGCCTCCGAGTCAAACACTTTCACGTGGCCGCTGCCACCCTGCTTCTTCCAGCCTCCTTACTTCTTCAGTCATGGGTGCACGCACAGGGCCCTTCTTCCTTGTGTCCGCCCTTGTGTCTTCCTATGCCCCGGCCTCTGGCATATCCTCTGTGTGGCATGTGACAGGTTGGAGATGTGACAGCTGTCCTTATGCCAGACCAAGTCTGGCCAAAGTCGCAACACACACAAACACACTCATCTGCAAAAGCTACACGGGGGCTCCACTGCAGGGCTGGTACGAAGGAGGTAAGGGCACTTTGTCCGCCTTCTTCGACCAACTTTAAATGTCATGCCCGACGTAATGGGGCGACTTGACTGACAGCAGGGTTGTTGTGCAAGGACATGTCCAGCTTTTAGGCGAGCAGCTTCAAGGGCCCTTGTACATGTGCTGGACACACAATGAGTTCAGGTCAGTGGCTGCCATTCAGGTAGTAACATTTGAGCAACTCTGGATCTTCACTTGGTGATCAGAGCTTGCTTGGATACATTGCAGCAAACATTGGTGCGTTCACCCTGTTTATATGATTATCTTGCGTTCATTTGAAAGCTGTCTTGACATGGACCAGGCAACTGGAAAATACGTGTCTCAGTCCGCTTTCCAGTGGACTCTGATGCAGTTTGCTTGTGGTGTGAAAGCAAACCGAACCAATGACTGGGAGTTTAGGTAGAGCGACTTACTTAGCACTGGTAAAATTAGCATTTGGATGGGCACACCATTGTTCTTCTACCTCAGGGGGAACTGTGGCTAACTGGGGGACAATGTCCTCCTTCAATCAAAGGGTCATTGGTTCAATCCCTCTAGCCTCCATGTCAATGTGTCCTTGGGCAAGACACAACCCCAAATTTCTGCTGCTACATTCTGCTACATACATTTACAAATTATTTTTTAAATTGCAGAAATTCCTTTCTGTTTCCTTTGTTCCCTCAAATAATGGCTGCAGCGACAAAGTCAAGCCCTATTATTACACCATCACTTCCAGATATTTTTGCCATTCTTCCATTGACAAAAAACGTCAATGTTGTGCAAGAGTCACATAGCAGCACTAAAATGTATATTCCCTGCTCAACGTCAAGAGCACGGAAGGGAGCCAATGGTTGTGTTTACGCTCCCTTCCGTACAACATACTAAACAATACTGAGCTCTACAGAGTTAGATGAATGGAGATCTCACGTACTGAATTATACGTTTGACAGAGACTCACCCGAGGGCGGTAAAGCACAGGGTCAAGGTGGCCGCTGCCAAAATGTCTTATTGCATGACA